CCGCGCTCCCAAGCGGCGCACTGTAGCAGTGCGCCACCAGGCCGGCCCTGAAAAGTGACCCTTCTGATGAGTTTTTTTTTTTTTTAGCTCTTCTTCAATGGTGGTATTTAGGATTCTGCTTGAAGCTCAGGTTCCATCTCCATTCACTTATCCAACATTTACTTATTGAATGGTCACGTGGTAAAAAATATAGGCACGGCCCCTCCTATGTGTCCCATCTTTTCTCTTTTGTGTTCTTATCATGGATCTCATGCTGTGGTTTACAATTTCTAAGGCATGATGATACTATATATCTCATTATTTCTTATATGTAATAAGAGTATAATTATTATATTACACTCATGACTTAGAATTTGATTCATCTTCTAGGAGTCCCCTTAGTTAATTTGGCTTGTGCTTGGTGCAAAATGACCACAAATGCTTTGAGAGGAGGCATAGAAGTAATGGTTGTATCTCTAGTATCTAGCAGATACTCAATAAATATTTACTGAAGAAATTAATGAATGAATGGAAATCTACACTCACTCTATATTTTCTTCTGTGTTCACTCAGTTATAACACTGTGGACAGTGTTTAGCTCTTATATTCTCTATTCCTTTAATATCTTCTCTTCCTATGTATAGATTTCTTCTCATTTGGATACTGCAGTTATTGTCATAAATAAAAATAAATATCATGATGATAAAGTAATAATAGTATTTGCAATTACTTCCGAACATCCAAATATTTAAGTAGTGAGAAATACGGAAAAGGAAATAGGCCAAAAATCCTTGGGATGTGACAAATCTAGATGGACTGATTTTGAGTATCATCCCAAAGGAGGATTCCATGTCTTGCAGGATGTAAGCAGAGGACTTAAAAGATTAAATCAATGCTTGTTGAAAAGTAAGGCTGAAAAAAGTAGAAAGACTGACAATAAAAAGGGAAGAAAGGAAAAGCTCGGGGCTCATCAGAAGTGTTTTTGATGTGAAACTACTACATTTTAAAGTGGAGTCACTGTCAAAAGCAACTGATTTGTGATCTCTTTTTTGGATCTAATTGAGAGACTTTGCTTTCTATTTTAGCTGAGGAAGGGGGTGAGTCTTCCAAAGCTGGGAAAACTTATTTTCAAAAAGTTGCACAATTTTTGGTTTATGTACCAGATAGGCCCAGGCAACAATGGACAAAGCTACACTCTTTTATTTCTATACAGCTCCTAAGTCTTTCTAGGAAGAGATAGCAACCTCTGTCCAAGTGTGTGGTTCTCAGGACCCAGCATTTCCCTTTGAGAAGAGATACCTTTCTGTGGTTATCCTTATACCTTCTTTGTTTAAGGAAGACTCTCTCCTAAATATTTCATATCAAACTTCCAAATAAAAACTTTGTAATTTATTTTTTATTTTTTATTTTTTTAAAGATGACTGGTAAGGGGATCTTAACCCTTGACTTGGTGTTATCAGCACCACGCTCAGCCAGCGAGCTAACCGGCCATCCCTATATGGGATCCGAACCCAGGGCCTTGGTGTTATCAGCACCGCATTCTACCGAGTGAGCCACGGGCTGGCCCAAAAAAACTTTGTAATTTAAATAGTCCTTTACATGCTGGTTTTAATTTGAGGTCTAAAAAAATCAATAGCTGAGAAATTCTGAAGATAACTTTTCCCCTCTTTTTTCTGTTAAATCCAAATTAGAGGCAGAATCTCTAGCTGTCTTACAAGGCATTTGGGCTGCAGTTCATGTATAAATGAACCAAAATTAACTAACAATAGAATAGTCTCTTCTAACTGGGCTAGAATTGGTGAGATATTCAGATGTTCGTGATCTAGTGCTTATTGAATGACTGACCTGTCTTTTCTGGGTGAACATTTCTCCTTTTCATAGTTAAACTTTGGACAATCATTGCCAATCTCAGCTATCTTGTTCTAGTATCTGACATCGGCATGTGTTGCCTCAGATAATGACAGGCACTGGTCAGGGACCTGTCTGACCCTGGGATTGCTCAAGTAGAGTGATATGAGTTATCATATTTCCTGCTCTAGGAGGTTAGACTGGATGACTCTCAAGGTCATGGAGTCATGACTGCAAATATTCTTCTATTCTTACAACCCCAGAATCTGTTATTCAGAATCCGTTATTTCAAATCTATATCCTTGACCTAAAAAAAGCGATGCTCTCAGATGTGTAAAGTCAAAACCTGCAGCTTGATCTTTCTAAGACAAAGTTGTGAGCCCTTTCAGGGTTCACTTCCCAAAGCATTTCTTTAGTGCTCAGGGTTTCTTAATGTACCTTGACAGGTTGAGAATCTCCAAGCAGAAAAAGTGGGCCCATGTCAATGTCAGGGTCTTTGGGATAGATGTTTGGTTTTACATGATGTTGGAAGTGCCGGTAATTCCACCAGTTTGCTGACAGACCCTGAAAAAAAGAGAGGCTCATTAGCTGAAAGATTTCTCTCCTGAAAAACCCTTCATTGTTGGAATTTTGTGCATGCACCCCCAAAGTCAAAATAAGACATTTGATCTTCTTGAGCTTGCCCCACTGATGGGTCACAGAGTGACTCATTGAACAGAGGCTCTGATGAAGAAATAATTCTCTGATCCAGAAACACACAGCTTCAGGCTAAAATAACTCCTTATAATGAAAATCATAAAAA